GAGGATGTAGAGAAACAGATAAATGCATTAAAACATTTCAGATAATAATATAAATACGCCCACTTTCTTCCCCTCAGACCTTATAATATTATCAGCCATCTGCATAAGGTACATCTTAAAGGACTTTCCTAGAGTTTATAAGCAAGCATTATAATGGATTACACAGTGATCCAAAAACAGTGGACTGTTTTTAGTAGGCAAATATGAAACTTATGCCCAATATGATCTGCTTTCTAAATGCTAAGGCATTTGAATAATAAACCAATTTCACCATGAATTGTCATCTCCCTTGATCATAAACCAAAAAAAAAAAAAAGCCAAACTCACTGCCATCAAGTCAATACCAACTCATAGTGACCCCTTTAGGTTTCCGAGGCAATAAATCTTTATGGAAGTAGATTGCCCAGTCTTCCTTTTGAGGAGTGGCTGGTGGGTTTGAACTCCCAACCTTCTGGTTAGCAGTCAAATGCCTTAGGCACTGCTCCAGCAGAGCTCCTTGTCCTTGATCATAGGAATCTTAAAGGATGAATCTAGTCAATGAAAGAACAACTCCACCTAAAACAACATAATTTCAACCAAATATTAACAAAGGGCCTGTATAATTTGCCTTTCAGAAAATAAAATTAAAAAACTATCCCTACCACTACTTCTAATGCACAGTATTCTACCTACAAAAACAACCAGTCTTCAAAATGAACTAAAATGGCTAGACCAAGATCTTAAAAATCTCAGCCATCTGCATCAGTTCTCTCACACAAGACTTCATATAACCTCAAAGTTTGTCATTCAGATTTCCAAATAATAGCATCAATGTGCAAAAATACTTCAGACAGTATTTTATGAGTGGTTCATTTTCATTCAGAATCTATGAAATGCTCTCTATGTTAGAAGCATTTAAGAAAATAGTGCAATCATGATTCACCTAGATCTATGTCCAATTTTCTCAAATAAATATTCATGAGAAGCTAAACCATGTTATTCAAACCTACCAGCTGCTCCATGGAAGGAAGCTAAACCACAGTAAATGCGCAAAATCAAGGTCTACTGTTTAAAATCCACTTCCACTAGCTGAACTGAATTATTTCAAAAGCAGCTAAGAAAACAAAGCAAATGTCTTCCAAATAAATAGCCCCATATACAAAGATCAAATCATTTCATGATATTTATCGTCTCTGCTTTGAGTGCAAAGTTCTACTACCCAATGAACAGACATCATTTTTCCATCAGTTATAAAGATAATTAAAAAAAAAAAAAAAAAAACTATCAAAAGCTAAATGAAACAAGGGGGTCAAATCAATTAAACAAATCATTAAGATAGGATCTACAAACTGACTTTTCTATTTCCTTTCCCATATTTTGAAGATAAGCAAAATGTTCTTTGGAGTCTTAGATTTCTCATTTCCATACTGTAGAACACTTCTCATACTGTAGTGGCGATGCCTTCCCCAAAAAAACCTTGAAGGGAAAAACTAGTTGCTTAATAGGCAGGAACTTATGCCTCTCCCTTATTTAAATGAAGGCACCACCCCCTCTAGTGTCCAGCAGTGACAGCCTTAGGAAATGGTAGCCTTTAGGATGATACCACTTGCCTGCAGTGGTGAACAAGAAAAATGAAACCACTAACTACCAGGTCATCTGTTTCCACGAAAACCAAAAATGATGTGCCTAGGTGGCCTGCATAAATCCCTTTGGTGTATGTACTTCCCTTCCTTTCACCTTGTCTCTTCCTCCTCCACTACAACATACAGAGATCGATATACTTTTCACTATCTTGATAAAGTAAAATTATCATAGGTTTTTAAAATAAAGCCAGATACCCCATTTTGCCAATAAGAAGCATTCCATCATCTCAATCCACAGTTAGTTTGAGGGTTCAAAGAATTCAAACTGATTTTAACATCTGCCTCAGTCATAATGTAACAGGCAAGTTCAAAAGCTCTATTTTTTTTTTTAAAGTACATCCCAAAGACAAAAAGAAAAGGTATAATGACTGTCCATATTTATTTAAGTAAATTATTAAGACTTAGGTCTACCAAACAGATCGATTAGAAAGTGGTTTAAAAAACCAAACCTACTGCCATCAAGTCAATTCCAATACCTAGCAACCCTTCAGCACAGAGTAGAACCATTCCATAGGGTTTCCAAGGCGGTAAATCTCTATGAAAGCAGACTGCCTCATCTTTCTCCTGTGGAGTAGCTGGTGGGTTTGAACCACCAACCTTTTGGTTAGCAGCCCAATGCTTTAACACTATGCACCAGAGCTCCTAAAAACTGGTTATTCTCATATTAAACATAAAACAGTATAAATCAGGTTCTTTTGGGTCCTTTTCAGGGACTCAAACTATTACTATAACTATTATTACTATACTTCTTTAACTAACGTCTTCATTTGAAAACCTTACCCTGTATAAAGGTAACAAATCATAATTATGTGAGGTGACAGAAACTACGGGGGGCAGTATAAGCATGATCGCAACATAATTCTTAAGATTCAGGAAAATTCTTCCATTTAGTGTTCCCTTAGTCTATAAACTACTGGTATACTGCTATATTTCAATCAAAGATTCCATACAGAAGGGCATTTTTAAAGTTAATTAATTGAAATTTTTCCCCAAATTTAGTAATGGGGGGGAGGGAGAACACAAATCTTACTCAGGCCAGAATCCTCTGTTCCCATAATCTATATGACATATTATAATCAAAACTAATACAATAAATGTAAAAAAATAAATAAACTTCATATCCACAAAGTCATCATTCTAAACTGTAACGCTCATTTATTCATGGATAACTCATTATTACAAACTGAATGTATATTTTTAAATACAAATCAGTAAAGCTTTTTAAAGTAATGTTCATCACTGAGGAAAAATGCAATGAAAATGTGTAACATACTATAAGTTATGACTTCAGAAAATTAAAGGTATTCTAAGACAGAAAAAAAAAGTTTGGTTCTACTCAACTTTGTATTCATAGGTGCCAGTGTATCTCCCTGCTACTTACTCATTAACCTTCTTTTTCCAGACCCACACTGACTCCATGCACCAATTATCTCAGAACATCACTTACTGTACAAAGTAGAATAATTTTCAGTTAATAATTCATCACGTTGGAGGAAGTCTTCCTTGTATTTTGTTTTGAGTAAAAGTACAATTTGGAGGTACGTATATCAACCTTCCTTCTTGCATCACTTTTCTTCTTTTATACACGACATATAATTAGCCTTTTTTTGACATTATAAAACTTGTCATTAATAGTTACCATAAACATTTACCTCATGATATTATTTTCAAAGCACCTTATAATAGTAATAATTCCTAACAGTTACTGATGTTTACTATATGCCACATACTTTTGTGAGTGATAAACATATATTAACTCAGTTAAACTTCATAATATGTCCATGAAGTAGAAATTATGATTATCTCCATATTGTAAATGGAGAAACTGAAGCAAAAAAGATTTTGTGATGTCCCTAGGGACACATGATAAGGCCTGGTAGAACTGGTATAAGATGTAACAGTCAGGATAGGAGGGGTCCACACATCCCCAAGTCAATGCTTCAGGGACCAAGCTGTTATCTACTACAGGTGTTCACTTTCCTTGACTACATTAGGACCAAGCCGAAGGCATTAACAAGAGAGGTTAAAAATCTACAAAACATGATCAAAAGCACAGCTCCAAAGTTAAGCAGTGGCATACATAAAAAGCACAGCTAGGACTTTGGTTAAACTCATGGATAATTTTCATAGGAAAAGGCAATGACAGGGTGGGTGCCCTGATGTTGTTGCTGTTGTTATGTGCCGTCAAGTCAGACCCAATTCATAGCGACCCCTCCTTGGTTTTCCAAGGTGGTATCACTATGGAAGTTGATTGCCCAACCTTCCTTCCTAGGAGTAGCTGGTGGGTTTGAACCGCCAGCCTTCTGATTAGCAGTCAAGTGCCTTAGGCACTATGCTACCAGAGCTCCTGGTGCCCTGATGTTGTTGTTGTTGTTATGTGCCATCGAGTCGGACCCGACTCATTGCGACCCCTCCTTGGGTTTCCAAGGCACTATCACTACGGAAGTAGACTGCCCCATCTTCCCTCCAAGGAGTGGCTGGTGGGTTTGAGCTGCCAGCCTTCTGGTTAGCAGTCAAGTGCCTTAGCCACTATGCTACCAGAGCTCCCAGTGCCCTGATAGTAGTGCCTAAACACAAAGACCACAATCCAGTCAAAATGGGAAGGTTTATTCTAGCTCTAACTCTCCAAAACTCATCCCTGTTTTATCTTCATGTCTTATCTAATCTTACTCCCAAGTAGTTTTCTCAACCAGAAAGCTATTTTTCACTATAAGCCTCTAAACTAACTCACACAAATCTAACTTTTCTAAGTTTGAGCAACTAAAGTCAGTCTTAAGACCTCAATAGCCCTTGGATAAACCCACCATCAAGTTTCTAGATTAAGAGAACTGAGAGACCTTCACTCTGGAGTACAAAGAACTATATAGCAAACTTGATAGCCTCCCCACTCAATTCTTCAAAGTCTACAGTTAATTGGGACCAATATAAAATCTCACTGGAAAAGATATACTTCACAGAACAGACCTTCAGGATATCTATCTGTTAGGTTAGTGAGAAACTTCCAGTTTACACACTTACAGATAGTTGAAATCTCTTTATTTTTTAAAACAATAGAATATATATTATTTTGGGGGAGTTAACTTCAGGAATTTTCCACCTGAAGATATCCAATCACAGTTAAGAAACCAATCACTATGAACTTTCGTATTCATGAATCTCACCAAAAAAAGGGATGAACGGAATTTGACTGACTCACATTAATTGGAAAAGTCCCCAGTGAGAACAACTTACAGACTGGCTTCTTATTAACTTTGTCAATATTGTCAGGAAACACTGATCATATAATTTATGACTGTCTAACTCAACTTTCATGTCACTTAAGAACGAGTTATAACTCACAAATATTTTATATAAAACATCAACAGAGAAAACATATACCTCAAGTTCCACCAGAGCTGCAGTCACTGCATCTGTTGCAAGACCACCAGCCTGTAGCTTTTCAATTGCCTATGAAACCAAGGGGAGAGATTATTGTCAAACTACAACTCCTCAACCACGCCCATAAACTTTCTAAAAGCTTAAAGAGGTGCAGGAGACATTTATAGTTGATGAAAAATGATCACTAATCCCAATCTATGCCTCAAGACATAAAGTACTTAGATTTAAAATAATCATGTGTTTATATTCAAGTTAATTTATGAGATATCTCACTTAATATTATTCAGATTAAGACAATGAATAAAATCTGGCCACTAAATGCAAGATGTAAGGAATTTGGTAAGTGAAGGGCTTCATTTATCACAGAGCAACTCAAAATACCACAGAAATAACATTAATTCATTTGGTTTAAACATCCTGACAAGTCTTATTTTATATACATGACTAAATCTCCATCTCAGCTAATAATGTCCCTTCCCATTGTTAGTCCTCTTCCTACCCATACCTATAAAAAACAGTGGCATGTCAGAATCCTGAGATGGAAACATATGTTCTGCTATAATGTATTTTATATGGAGATTAAGAAATCATATTCTTTTGTAATATAACATACAAAGAGTAAAGGTCTGAAGCTGGGCAAAAATGAGAAAGAAGGGAAGACTGATTCCTAAATGAATTGTTAAAGCTCCAATTTAGTCAACAAAGAGAAAGTTCAAAAACTAAGAATTGTATTCTTCATTAAACTTTTAGAAAACAAATTCACTATATAAACTGAAGAGGTAGATTATATAGTCCAAACAGAAATTTCTAGGATTAAAGTTGTATGAAAGTGAAACATATTTCTAAAAAGATTTCACACCAAAAAAAATATAAAAATTATAAAATAGCTTAGGGAACATCTCATATTTAGCTTTATTATTTTTAATAAAACAAATACAAATACATAAAATATTCTTATATATTTATGGGATTTCATTCATAAGAAAGAGCTTGGCTTTCAAAGCATAACCTGTCTTTCAAATGGTATGAAAATAGCTGAGAGAAGTCTATATTTACCCAATTTATAATACCAATTAATATTCTATTTGCATAAAAAGTAATGGAAGGTTTCCCTACAAAGTATACAGTCAGGATCAAAATAAAAACAAACAACATTTCTTTTCATTTCATTCCTGCCCCACATTACGTATTCAACAATTTAGCAAAACCTCAAAAACTAAAAGAAAAAAAGTACAACTGAATACAAGGGAAAAGTTAAACCCAAGAATAACAATGAATTCACTATGATACAAACTACATGATGAAAAACAGAAGGAAAATGTACAGGAAAATCTCTCTTGGCAAAGATTAAAAGAGATATGATTATGCACCACAATTCCAAAAATAAAGACTTTAATCTGTAGAAGGAGGGAAGAGATCTAAGCATTATCTGGAGAATAAAAAAATACAAAACAACCCAAAAAAGACCCTACAAATATGAGCAGAGTAATTTTGTTATACAAACCAAAGATTTTCTTCTAAATGAAACCATAAAATTTTGAATTTCTAGTAAAGTTGCTTTATATTCAAAACATAAAACATTTAGATGATAGATTTTGATCATACCTTTTGACAAGCTCGTTTGCATACATGTTTATATTCCTTGGCTTTGGATTCAGAATGATAACCTGCACCTGTAGAAGAATCAATCAATAGTTAGTTATTATTATAATATTAAACTTTGCTCTACCCTTGAGCATAATGCTCTTCTGTGTTGTTGTTGTTGTTGTTGTTGTTATTGTTCTTAGGTGCCATCGAGTCATCTCTGACTCATAGCGACTTTATGCACAACAGAATGAAACACTGCCCAGTGCTGTGCCAGCCTCATGATCCCTGCTATACTTGAGCCCATTGCTGCAGCCACTGTGTCAATCCATCTCATTGAGGGTCTTCCCCTTTTTCGTTGACCTTCCACTTTACCAAGCATGATACCCTTCTCCAGGGAAGGGTCCCTTCTGACAAAATGACCAAAGTAGGTAAGATGAAGTCTGGCCATTCTCACTTCCAAGGAGTATTCCAGCTGCACTTCTTCCAGGACAGATTTGTTAGTTCTTTTAGCAGTCCATGGTACTTTCAATTTTCTTCGCCATAACCACAACTCAAAAGCATCAACTCTTCTTCAGTCTTCCTTATTCATTGTCCAGCTCTCAGATACATATGAGGAGACTAAAGATACCATGGTTTGGGTTAGGTACACCTTAGTCTTTAAGGAGATATATTTGCTCTTCAGCACTTGAAGCAGATTTGCCCAATGCAGTATGTCATCTGATGCCTTGATTTTTGCTGCCATTGGTGTCAATTGTAGAACCAAGTAATATGAAGTCCTTGACAACTTCAATCTTTCTCCATTTGTCGTGATGCTGCTTATTGGTCCAGCTGTGAGGATTTTTGTTTTCTTTATATTGAGGTTTAATCCATACTGCAGATGTAGTCCTCAATCTTCATCAGTAAGTGCTTCAAGTCATCCTCACTTTCAGCAAGCAAAGTGGTGTTATTTGCATATAGCAGGTTGTTAATGAGTCTTCCTCCAATCCTGACACCACCCTCTTCTTCATATACTCCAACTTCTTGGATTATTTGCTCAGCATAGACTGAATAAGGATGGTGAAAGGATACAACCCTACTGCACTCCCTTCTTGATACTATGTAGTATCCCCTTGTTCTCTTCAAATGGCAGCCTCCTGGTCTATGTACAGGTTCCTCATGAGTACAATTAGGTGTTCCGGAATTCCCATTCTTCTCAGTGTTATACATAATTTGCTATGGTCCACACAATCGAAAGACTTCGCATAGTCAATAAAAAACAAGTAAACATCTTTCTGGTATTCTTTGATTTCAGCCTAGGTCCATCTGACATCAGCTATGATATCCCTCATTGCATGTCCTCTTCTGAATCCAACTTGAATTTCTGGAAGTTCTCTGTCAATATACTGCTGCAACCGTTTTTTAATTATCTTCAGTACGATTTTACTTGCATGTGATATTAATGATATTGTTTGATAATTTCCACATTCTGTGGGATCATCTGTCTTTGGAATGGGTACAAATAAGGATTTCTTCCAGTCACTTGGTCAGGCAGCTGTCTTCCAAACCTCTTGACATAGCCAAGTAAGAACCTCCAGTGCTGCATCCATTTGTTAAAACATCTCAGTGAGTATTCTGTCAATTCCTAGAGCCTTGTTCTTTGCCAATTCTTTCAGTGTACCTTCGATTTCCTTCTTCAATACCATTGGTTCTTGATCATATGCCACCTCATCAAATGGATGAACATTGACCAATTCTTTTTGGTACAGTGACTCTATGTATTCCTTCCATCTTCTTTTGATGTTTCCTGAATCATTCAATATATTACCCATAGAATCTTTCAATGCTACAACTCAAGGCTTGAATATGTTCAGTTATTTCAGCTTGAGAAATGCTGAGTGTGTTCTTCCCTTTTGGTTTTCTAACTCCAGGTCTTTGAACATTTTACTATAATTGACTTTGTCTTCTTGAGCTACTCTTTGAAATCTTATGTTCAGCTCTCTTATCTTGTCATTTATTCCATTTGTTTTAGCTACTCTCTGTTCAAGGGCAAATTTCAGAGTCTCTTCTGACATCCAATTTGGTGTTTTCTTCCTTTCCTGTCTTTTTAATGACCTTCTGCGTTCTTCATGGATGATGTTCTTGATGTTATCCCACAATTCCTCTGGTTTTTGGTCACTGGGGTTTAATGCATCAAATCTATTCTTTAGATGGTCTCTAAATTCAGGAGGGATATAATCAAGGTCATATTTTGGCTCTCATCGACTTGTTTTAATTGTCTTCAACTTCAACTTGAACTTGCATTGAGCAGTTGATGGTCTGTTCCACAATCAGCTCATGGCCTTTTTTTGGCTGAAGATATCGAGCTTCCCCATCACCTCTTGCCATAGATATTGTCCACTTGATTCCTGTGTACTCTGTCTGGAAAAGTCCATGTGTACAGCTGCCATTATGTTGTTGAAAAAGGTATTTGTAATGAATAAGTCATTGATCTTGCAAAATTCTATTATGTGATCTCCAGCATTATTTCTATTACCAAGGCCATATTTTCCAACTACCAGTGATCCTTCTTTGTTTCCAACTTTTCCATTCAATCGCCAGTGATAATCAACACATCTTGATTGCATGTTTGGTCAGTTTCAGACTCCAGAAGTTGGTAAAAGTCTTCAATTTCCTCATCTTTGGCTTTGGTGGGTGGTGCATAAATGTGAATAATAGTAGTATTAATTTGCCTTCCTTGTAGGCGTTTGGATATTATCCTATCATGGACAGCATTGTACTTCAGGACAGATCGTGAAACATTCTTTATGATGATGAATGTCATGCCTTTCATTTTCAATTTTTCATTCCAAGCATAGTAATCCTATGGTTGTCTGATTCAAAATGGCTAAATATAGTCCATTTCAGCTCACTAATGCCTGGGATATTGATCTTTATGCATTCCATTTCATTTTTGACAACTTTCAATTTTCCTAGATTCATACTTCATACATTCCATGTTTTGATTATTAATGTATGTTTGCAGCTGTTTCTTCTAATATTGAGTCATGCCACATCAGCAAACAGAGGTATCGAAAGCTTTACTCCATCCATATCATTAAGGTCGGCTCTACTCTGAAGAGGCAGCTTTTCCCCAGTTGTATTTTGAGTGCCTTCCGACCTGAGGGGCTCATCTTCTGGCACTATATTGGACAATTTTCAGGGCTATTCATAAAGTTTTCCAGTGATGTATCAGACAGTATTTCACTGCTATTCATAAGGTTTTCATTGGCCAATTATTTGAGAAATGGATGGTCTCTTCCTTCCTCTGAGTCTATCCTAGTCTGGAATCCCCAATGAAACCTGTCCACCATAAGCAGACCTGTGGCATTTCCAACACTGGTGTTACAGCATCCAGTCTCACAGCAACACATATGCCACCACCAGATGACAAACTGATAGACAAATTAGTCTCCCTTAGTTGTTCTAAACTGCTCCACTCACTTCCTGGCCTCCCTTAATGCCACTCCAAATCCCCCACCCAGCTCTGCTTCCATGCTGCCCTTTAAAGAAGCCACTGCTGCAAACACCCCTAGGTGCCTGGCTCCACTTTGGGACCACTCTTCAGAGAAGACGCTGCTCCAAACAAACAACCCCAGGCACCCAACTCTGTGTCTGGGCCACCCTTCAGAGAAGATGCTACTCTAAACAAATACCCCGGGCCAAACACTAGAACAAACTTACCCAAACATCAGTCATTTGAGTAACAGATTTTTTTTTGTTGTTTTCCTAATCTATATACTATTTACAGCACTCTGGTGGCATAGTGCCTAAGGCATTTGACTGTTAACCAGAAAGTTGGTGGTTCAAACCCACCAGCTACTCCATGGAAGGAAGGCTGGCAATCTACTTCCTTAAAGATTCATCTCCTCAGAAACCCAATGGGGATCACTATCAGTCAGAATCGACTCAACAGCAGTGAGTTTCTTTTTGTTTTTGTATATACTATTTGCACTGTTTACCTAATATTTTTAAAACACAACCTAACACTTTTTTAACTTAAAAATTTAAAGATGCAGTTAGTTACTTAAATGGAATATCAGTATCCCTTGCCATAAAAAGTGTAACTTTAAACACATTTCAAATAAAACAGTGTAATTATATTTTAGCTAGATTCTTTCACTTGTCAGTGGTATATATTCTGAACCTGCCTTTCCTCTGCTAAATAATGAAGTTGGCAAGTGTTAAGCAGATATTAAAGATATTTCAGGGCCAAACTCAGAACTTTTTCATATTCTAATTAGAGAGATTACGTGTAAATGCTGTTTAATACTGTTCTCTATATACATTAAGAAATCCTTGGGTGATGCAAACTGTTAGTGTACTTGGCTGCTAATCAGTATGTTGGAGGTTTGAATCCACCTAAATTTGTCTCAGAAGAAAGGTCTGTCAATCTACTACCTGAAAAATCAGCCATTGAAACCTGATACACATGGAGTTGTCATGAGGTGGCATTGAATGTCTACAATTTTTTTTTTCCTACACAATAAAATAATATATGTGGCAACAGTGTCTTATGTTTTGGATAAAACTGATGGAAGACTGGGGCCTTGAACAGATCTGGGATCACCTATTTCTAGAGAACCATAAGGAAAGGCCTGTTGAATATACACACAGGTTCTGTAAAGGTTCAATATTCTAAAAAACAGGTTTAGCACTTCTACATACCCCTACAGCTCAGTTATCTACTATCTCATCATTTGACATTTCACATTTATGTCAATAGTTAAAAACCTATCCAACTATCTTGTGCATTAATGATGTACATCTGGCAGTAACAAATGCTGAGGTGTAAGGCAAGAGTAACTCTAGCTGTGATGGTTAAGGTTATGTGTCACCTTGCCTGGGCCATGATTCTCAGTGGTTTGACAGGTAAGGGATTATGTAATTTGGTAGTCATGTAATGATGTAGTCATCCTCCACTTTGTGGTCTGATGTGATTATCCTCCATTTTCACATAACTCGCCAATTTTTGCATAATGACCTGGTGTTTGGATCCTGACCATGTAGATAAGTCAGAGGTGCCTGTATTACGGGTTCCAGTTGTTTGTGCATCTTTTCTGCTATCCTG